ACTAATAGCATAAGTATAGATTCTATTATTGATGAATTTTATTCTGTAAAAACTCGTCGAGCACAACTTCAGTGAACATTTGAAGAAAAAATATTATGCGTTTGTTTTTTTATTATAATGAGTATTTAATTCTAGCCCAGTCTATTTTTATTTTCTGGATCCGTCCCTGGTCCAGTGGTTAGGACATCGTCTTTTCATGTCGAAGACACGGGTTCGATTCCCGTCGCGTCGAGCATATGTTATAACCTTTCCTTCACTTCGCTTCTAAAGATGCAATTGACCTCTCCATGAATGACATCCGTTCTCGGTCAATTATCACGCAATGTGCAAAATATGAATTGTTAAAAAAATTATAAGAGTATGATAAACGAAAATTTTATACTTATATACAAGTAATTTGTATGCAAATATCATATAATCTTGTACATTTATGATATTTTATAAACTTATAAATAATAAAATTTATATGTTAAATAGTTAAAAAATACAAAAAAATGTATTTATATATAAATAGAAATTAACAGTAACAGTAAATAATTCATATTGTCTTAAATAATTTATAATATTTAAATAAAAATATTTTTTTTAATGTACAAACACTAGTTATGACAAACACCAGTTATGACAATGTGACATAACCAAAAATCATTTGATGACGTCACCTGTTATGCTGTGCAGAGCCGTATCCAATTTTAGGGCTTTTTGAGTTCTGAGCTTTTCACAATTCGTTACTTTTCCTTTCCCTTTTTCCTGACGCCGCGCGCCAGCTCACCGTATTCTCTCATCTACGTACTCCTCTGCTATCTCATCCTCTCAATTGGGCTCAACGCGCCGCCGTCACCACCAGAACGCCCATCCGTCTCCGCCGGCTACGGCGCCCGGAGGATGCAAGCTAGTTCGCGGGAGAGACATTAGCTAATCGGTATTAAAGGTCGTTTCTTGTTTTTTCCCAGTATTGATCACGGTTCCTTGAATTTTCTTACTGTTTTATTTCGTGTGGGAGTGCGCATGTGTCATTGCCAATGTCTAAATTTTAGTGGCTGTTGCGGTTCCGCCCGCCGTTTAGCTTTCGTTACGGGAATCCGAGTTGAATTGGCTTTTAATTTCATAACTTTTCTTGAAATTGAGCTGAAGATTGCCGGTTGTATGCTGTGTAGAAGTCGAAAGCTGTTGATGAATTCAGTATGATTTGGTTGGTCTTACCAGATTAATTTATTTGTTGTTCTTCAGTATCCATGAACAGCAGCACTCATGAATGGCTGGTTTCATCTCAAAAGAAACGTCTGATATTGGTGTATTGACAAGTTACAGCGCAAAATATCATTGATTTTGTGCATAACCAAGTTTTCTTGTGGAATTCCTAATTACTCTCTTGAGGCTGAGTACGCTAGAATTGACGTCAACCGCTTTCATCTAGTTTTATTTATCTCACCCAAAATTTTGGACTTAGGAGATGGACATACAAGCATACATGCACAGTTAAGGTAGCTGTGTGTTTATTTTTATAGAATAGCTATTTATTAATAAAAAAAAGTATATGATAGCTTTATATTTTCTTATCTGGAATGATATATGTGAGTCGGTTTATGCGTAGGTCTTATTTATTAATGTAGAGTAATTTTCATTATATTACGCTTTTGGCATGAGTGTCTATATGTTTCAATAAGATAAAATTGAAAGGTGGGAAAATAGTGAAGAGTGCCATTCACCTGTATTGCTTGAACTGAACAGACCCAGCTACATTTCCCAGAATTACGCAGGCTTCTCATTGGGGAACATTACTATATGGGTGAAAGGAGAAAACGCAAGTCAATGTGGCATATGGAAGATGAAAGTCGGCATTTTTCTCATCCAAGTGATCATAATTATTGGGCTGGCAAGGAATTGCATTCAATTAATAACAGAGGACGTGATCATGAATTTCATGGGCCCAGAGACTTTATGGAGCCAAAATCTAGAGATCGTCCTGGACGGACGTCTCGTGAATTAAGTGAAGAAAGCAGATATTACCAGAACATGTCTCCTGGGTTTGATGGAATCGAACGGCGTAATTATAAGCACTACCACGAAGATGATAGAGGCGATTCTCACAGGTCTGGCTTCTTGTATTTCCATTCTGTAATGTATTATATGTGAAACCGAATGACCTAGCATGAACTGTTAGAAAGCTTTAGATGTAATGTTTAAATTTGGTGTCTGTTAATGATGCTTTGTGGTTTCTGATCAAGAGTGGATTTTTTTTTTTCCAAGTGTGTGCCTTTTCCATATAATTTTTTCTTAAATTTTTACTGTTCCTTTTCGTTTAGTCTGTGTGCATTATTTTGATTCCAATATGAAAATCTGCCTGTTGTAATACTGAATAGCCAATTTAAACGCTGTGGAAAAAGTTGGAATTTTTAACTGATGTCAAATATAGCTTTGCACACAGTTACCTGATTGGTTTTTGACAAAATTGGTTTCATTTGTTAAAAAAAAAAAATATCTTCCTTTGGGACACCCAATAAAGTACATTTTTGGGGAAAGTCTGTGTTATGAATACTTTATCCATCATACACCATGTTTATTTTCTCATTGTAGGTACCCAAGAAAAGACGGGAGCAGGAGTCGAAGCAGAAGCAGAAGTCCAAGAGGTTGGGTGAGAAGTGGTAGTCCAAGACTAGATTATAAAAATCAATCTCATAAATGGAATGACCAAAGAAGTGAACCCGATAAACAATTTCAAATTTGTCGTGATTTTTCTGCTGGAAGGTGCAGGAAAGGCAGTCAGTGCCATTTTGAGCATTCTAGAAATACCAGTCGAGGGTACAGTTCTAAAGATTCATACATCAAAGACTCTGGTCCTGATTTACGAGCTGATGTTCCGAGATATTATCATGGAGAGGAACGACAATTTTGGAAGAAAAGTAGAAATTTAGTTCCATGCAGGGAACTCATGAAAGGTTGGTGCAAATGGGGAGACTCTTGCAGATTTTCTCACCATCTCGCGTCTAATGAGACTGCCGATATGAGCTATCCTGGTGACAACAGTAATTTGAGATATGATAGCAGATCGAGTCTTCGTACGGAAAATGAGGATGCAAGTTGGAGAACACGAGAATTGGAAGGCATTGGCGTGACTGGATATATTGATAAGGAAAATGTGGCTCATAAACAGGAAAACAATAACATGTCGCGAGGTTTCACTTCGCAAAATGAAGTTGGAAATGTGGGTGTTCAAGAACAACAAACATTACTTGACCATGGGGTAGTAGAAAATGGTATGGTGACTTCATTTGGGCCTGATGTTCTTGATCAGGCGGAAAATTCGAGCAATCCCACACATCCATGTCCTTTTCCTGGACAAAATGAAAGCAGTGAAAATGTACAAGTACCTATGCAGTTTTCAGTTTCAAATGCAACTGATGTCTGGCAGAACATGCTTAATGGTGGCTTGGATGGGCTCGAGACGCAAGCAGGAGCTCGTTTTGATCTGCAGTCTCAGGTGTCGAACCATCAGCACCAGAGACATGCAAGACCTCATTTGGATTCGCATTCTCAGGTGCTGAACAATATGCTCGAGATACAATCTGGGGCTCGTTTGGATTTGCATTCTCAGGTGCCAAACCATCAGTTCGAGACACAATCAGGCGCTCATTTTGATTTGCATTCTCAGGTGAATAACCATCTACCCGAACCAGAATCAGGAGCTCCTTTGGATTTGCGTTCTCAAGTGAAGAATCATGAGCTCGAGACACAATCAGGAGCTAATTTGGAAAACCGTCAGCGAGCTGTTCAAATATTGACAGGGCTGTTAGAATCAAAGGTCTGACAATCATTTCTTGAGTTTGTCACTGATGTTAGTAAACCACCCACGAGGTTTAGTCCTATTACCAAAAAAATCAAGTTATCTTGAGAATCACAATGATCCCATTTATCATGCTCTACAATCCTCCCCTTGAAGTTCTATATCCCTTGAAACTGCTCCCTCTTGAGGATGCTATCATGCAACTGCATAAGAGACAAAGGAAATGTTTTTTTGTAGTTTTATACAGTAACTATTTTTCTTGTCTTTTAACTAGGCTGAACCTTAGGGGTGGTTTTCTAACTAATGCATTTTGTTAATCAGCTGCGCAATTCACAAATTCTCCTATTTTCTATTCTTGCTCTACAGGTAACCTTTCCAGTTGGATTTCCTCACGGACCAATCAATCACGTGGAAAAAGACACAGTTGCCAACAACGAGCATGGAAAGTATACTGAACAACACAATCAAGTGCAGACGAAACAAGCTTCTCCAGTATCCGCCATTGGTAAAGGCAGAGATAATCCAAAGGTGGACGATTCTGAAAATTCGAAACAACAGGAAGAGGTACCACTCTCTAAACCAGTAGCTGATGAAGGTAATAAAGCCGTCGATGAGGAAAACAAGGGAGTTAAGGACAGCAAAAAAGCTGAAGCGAACGCTGCAAGCAAGGACGAAAAAGCGATGCGTTTGTTGAAACATAGTCTAGTAGAGTTTGTGAAGGACATCTTGAAGCCCACGTGGAAAGAAGGTCGACTGAGTAGAGACGTTCACAAGACCATCGTGAAAAAAGTGGTCGATAAAGTTACCGGAACAGTTCAACCTGATCACGCCCCCAAGACACAGGATAAAGTTGATCAGTACTTGTCGTCCTCGAAACCCAAAATTTCCAAACTCGTTCAGGTAAATTTTAGTTGCGAATTACAAATACCTCAGTCTCGATTGAGTTGGTTCGTGATCAAGCCTGGCAGTTCTTGTAATCATCCAGTTTTTTGTTTGCCCTCGTATTTGATTTGTGTTATTTCATGCAGGCATATGTGGAGCGTTCTCAAAAAACAGATTCTTGAATCACATTTGCATACTTTACCTGTATCATTGTGAAGCGAGAAATTGTGCAATAATGTTTCACGTAGCTACTAGTCGACTTTTTTCCCCGGTTTTCAGGTAAGCGACTGTTTTAGGCCTTTAGTCCATTAGCTGCGAGTGTGATCAGAGTTCGACAGCAGATTCTCATTCCTATTCCCCTTTAGATTTTGTTGTGTTGAGTACAATATTTAAGATCAGTTATTATTAGTTTTAAATTTTAATTGTTAGATAGGCATATGAAGTTGGACATGGTCGTCCTCTTGATTGTACATGTTTTTTTGGCCTTTTTCTTAATTACTAGATGAATAAATTGATTTATTTTTTTTATTTCCATTATCATTCTAAATTATTACATAATTTGAGGTTTATTGTACATTTATCCGAGGGTTCTACGCAAGAGTAAGCATTAGATTCCCGCCTATTAGTCAATGTTGAAAAATTGCACAAAGTTATTTTATGACAATAATTGGATGGAAAAATCATTAAAAATATAGGTCTATAAATATATTAGGTTGACTGTAAACACCCACCAGCTAATTCGTACTAATAATAATTAATTCGTTCATTTTAGTTTTAAATGTCAGCTTTAAACTGATTTTTCTTAATATATTAATTAGTATTTTACATTTCGAATGCATATTAAATCTTGTAAGTTTTATGTATAGATATTGTATTTAAAATTATAAGTTAAATATTGTGCATATGACATCTTATAAATGTGATCGTTAGTAACAATATCATTATAATTTATTTTACTTATAATTCAAATCATTATATCGACAATAGATTGTTTAAAATATAATGAATAATGTAATTTTGATATTTAACGGTCATATTCAATTAATTAGTAAATTTATTATTATATTATAACGACTGTTTACGCAATATTAAGGGATTTGTTATGCAACGAAAACCAATTAGCTATTTACTAAACGGTTGATGGAATCAAAAGAAAATATATACATATATATAAATTAATATTAAAATAAATAAAAGTTG